AGTTATACAAATATACAGTCACAACCGGGGAAGAAGAGATCTATATTATGCAAGTGGTGGCTAGCTAATCCAGAACACATTATAGGCAATATTACTTCACATGGAGTTATTGGCTAAAATACCGATCCAGAAATATGATGCCTCACATACTGATATGTTTTGGAATGTCCACTGAGATGGGACCATATGCCTAATCACATCATTCTGATTAATAACCTGGCCATATCTGTGAGTGTATTATGTAATGTCTGTGATGACTTGCTACAATACTTTTATCTCACTTGACTCTAAATTTTGTAAATTTTTGTTACTGTGGAGTGAACATGTTCCATGACTTGTTTTTTTAAATTAAACATTAATAATACAAAAATAAAACATATAATCATCATACATTTAATGAGCAAATATCTAGCAAGCAATTTTAAAAACACAAATCTTTAACACTTTGACTTTGCCTATAAAGTTCTGCAGCCAACTTATATCTTCCTGTCATGGTTTCAGGCAAAACAAACAAATAGAAAGTGAGCAACCAGAGCAATAATGGTAAAAACAAAAGGATGTGATCTGTGAAATTATGTTAATTGCTTTTTTTTTGTGGTAAAATGTCCCAGAGTATCACAGGAGATGAAGCATATGAAATTGCACTTTTTACCTAAACTATTTTCTTTTTCTAGGATTTCTTATTTAGAATGTAGTGTACTTTAGTCAGCAAAGATGTTGAAATGTAGTTTTTGATCATGCCAGCTGTATGTAATGAAATGGAGAAAAATTGTGAAAGAGACAGATATAGATAGATAGATAAATGGATAGATAGATAGATAGATAGATAGATAAATGGTAGATAGATAGATCTATAGATATTTAAATAGAAATATATATATATCCAATGCTTTAAGCCTAAACATACTTGTACAGGTATACTAAAAAAGTATATTTCCCAATCCAGTAAAACTATAAATGATGTATCTCTATTTCAGTATCTGCTTAGTCTGATACCTTACTACAGCTTCTATATATCCTCTTTGAAGGTACATTTTTTGGGGGACTTTCTTTCTATCCACCTTCCTGTTAAGTCCTGAATCACTTTTAGTAAGGTCTACACAGGTTGCAATAATTAATGAGGGTTTGTGGTTGTAGGGTTCTCATGCCTGTTTGCATGTACTTGAGCATAGTTTTAAGGATCACTCCAAGAACCATGACTGCCTCTCAGACAAATCGCTATTCCTGCACTGCAGTGCTTAACTAATCAATAGCTTTGACTAACAAGGCTGTAGTAAGTTAATGGGAAGCGGTGCCCAGCGGACCTCAGCGGACCCCAGGTAAGAAGTCAAACTGTTCTAAAATACTCTGGCATCAAAACTACTACAGTATCATTGCCTGCACTCACTGATTCTGGCCCCTGAAGTTATCTTAAAAGAGCATCCAAATCAAAATAACCACAACAGCCCAGTGACAATGGTTTGGCAACTTACCTGTGGTCCACTGGGCACTGGTCGCCTCGTCGTCTGATAGAGGCTTCTTGCAAGAAGAATCTGTCAGTGCAATGCCAATTTATTGGTTGAATACGTTAGCCGAATGCTCTCATCCAAGGAACTGCACCGTCACCTCCTTCTCTTCTTAGACTCCTACTAGACAAACATGTTAGCTCTCCTGTGTGTAGGGCCATCTTAGCCAAATATCCTCAGCTAAGGAACTAAGCCCTGCACCACTAATGAGCTTTCAACTAGAGAGGATTGTGCACACAGTGCATGCAGTGTGCACACACAGCAGACCCAATATAAGTTGTCAAACTGTTTTCAAACAGTTTGACTACTTACCCTGGGAGAGCTACCAGGGAAACACTGGCACCATAACCACTCCAAGATGCTTGGAGTGTTCCTTTAAGCAGGTAGAACAACAGTTCATGACCAGTGTTGATAGTTGTGGGCAGAAACTGCTAAATTATTCTTAACAAAGTACCAAGCTTCTGTTTCTCCAAGAGTAAATGACTAATCTTAATTTGTATCTTAATACCCTAGTAATAATAAGTTAAAAGTGTAACAGCATTCCTGGACTTTTATTTAATTTAACTAAAGCACACAGTGTTTTCAGCATGCAATGTGAGCTACTAAAAACAGATAGCATAAATGTCGAGAAATGGCTAGTATATGATGAGAGGTTTATTGCATTATTTTTCACATGTGTATTTATGTGGAATTAGTTTATGTGGATATCGTATGGCTTGTCAGTGCGAGACAATCAAGGAAAATATCTGCTTTTCTTTCAAAGGAATTAAGTGAGCCTTTAAGTATCACTCTTGGCATTCAAATCTTTATTTCTTGGCATAATACCATATAAAGATTCAAAATGAATTAAAATATGGTATAATTCAGCAAGTCAGGGTATGTAAAATAGAATATGTGTAAAAGCCCAATTTTTTTTTTTATTATTAAAATGGGTAGAAGTTTAAATTACCATTTTGATGAATTATATGTGGCGTAATGTGTGAGCTTCTTATAAATAAAATAAGAGAAAATTAAGGTTATGTACAAAAAGTGTCTGTTTTCAAAAGTGGTGCAAACATGGAATTGTGGCAGAGTTGCCAATCCAAAAAGCCTGCTGTTTCCACAGGTTTCAATGGTTACTGCCCCACTTTTAGTAATGTAGACCATTTTTTAGAACATAACACTTTTTAAACCCAGTGTATCTTTTCTTAGGTCATCATGTATGGTATTTCAATTTTAACCATTTGCATTAGTACATATTTTTAATTGTATAGCTTTTTATCAGCTAAAGTGAAAAGTATTGGCCACAAAAACAGTTTTGAAAAAATATATCCCAATTAGAGGGAAAACTTTCCCAATCTCAACTCATGACAAATACAAGTTGATTGTCAACTCATCATACTTCAATCGGTTAGCCCATATACCTTTATCATTAAATTATATTTATAATGCGTTTTAGTTGTTATTACATTTTGTCTTTAACAGCAACTACTGCCATACTTGGTGTATGAATTACTAGCATCTGGTTTTAATTTAATACCGCTTTCTCCTGGTAAACAGCTCAGACCTTCAAATACATCAGCAAATTGTTCCTTAATGACTCTCTTAGTAAAACCGTCTGTTTTGTAATCCACTGTCATTATTAAGAGATTTAACAATTTATAAGCACTTAATTCTAAGAGAGATTTTGCAGAAAAAATATAAAGTGTGATTTTGTTTGTGAGCTCATGATTTTCCTAAAATATTTAGAAAGTGTTCTTTGAGACATCTGTCCATGCAAACCCAGCTTCAAGCAGCTCACATTTGTCTGCCCATAATATATGAAACCAACCTTTTATAAAACCGCAGAAAATATATTTGAAATCCCTTTTAGAAAATAGGAAATTTCCCCAATGGTTACCACCTAAACAATCATTTAGTAAATATTGTGCTCTGAATACATTTTGGTCCTTGATGGTCCTTGATGGAGCTAGCAACTCACTGTATTACCGATATGGGGTTCTGATTACTTTAGAGGAGAAATGACTATGAGGTTATTCTCTCCTCCTAAATCAGTGCCATTGTAATTCTTCATATACATCAATAATAGTGAAAAGATAAAGAATATCTAGACTTTTGCTGTGAAATTGTATACTAACTGTATACTAACTCAAAGCTTTTCTGTAACTTGTATTGTTTCCCAGTGTTTCAGATCTAAATTTCAAAATTAAACTAATGCATATGTTAGAAATTATATATAGATACACATTTAAGGGAAACCAATTTTATGGCAAGACAGGAGGCTTCATATTTGCTTATCTTTCTCTACTGAACCTCCCAGCAGCAAAGAAATAGTTAACAATGGTGTAAAAAAGTTTAACCAATCAGAGTGTATAATGTTATCAAGCTCCTCCCAATTCTCCTTTCTTTGCTGCTTGCCTCCCAGGTGAGTCTATTCCAATTATATTGCTATTCAGTTTTTCCTGTATGCCAAATATTAACAGTTTTATTTATATCTGCACTTAATATTTATTTATAGTAGATTTATCTACACATACTCTATTGCTTTCCTAGTAGATGTTTTGTTTCAAATTTCCTGTCAGATTAAGTCTTGATTGGAACCCGTTCCCTGTTTAAACATTCTTAATGTTTTTTCTGCATCTCTATTGTTAATACACGTCTCTTTGAATTCAGTACAAGCATTTTTTTCGCTGAGTTTTCCCCACGATCCGTATTCTACAGTAAGTTGTACAGTAAGAGACCGTGGCCCACCTTCCTCATTCACTTCCCTTAATACCACGGACTCCATTTCCCATGAGTCTGCGGAGTGCTGTTTCGCACCCTTTTTCGGCTTTCCCGCCCATTCACGTCTCCACTACTGACGCGTTTCCCTTCCCGCCCCTTTGATTGACGGTGGCCATTTCCTGATCGGTTTTTCCCTCTCTTTTTGTGACGTGAATAGTCGGAATTCCACAGCTGTTTTTGCCTACCGGATTTGGTAAGTACTGACTTCTTTTCATTTTAGCACAATTACTGTGCTAGTAGTTTAGTAGGCATTTATTCATTTTATTTTATTTATTTTACAGATCAAAGAAATTACCACAAAACCTGCTGTACCACTTATTTTTTCAAAAATAAAGGAGGGCTTTTGTGGGTGACCCCCACTTATTTTCTGTATTTATTTTGAGTGTCATTGTGGGTGACCCCCGCCTCTCATTTATTGCTACTCAGTTAAGGTGCACCAACACCAATATTAAAGTGGTTGACACCCACTTAACTTTATGATAATAATAACATTTACAGGTGAATTCCACCTTCTGATTTTATTTTCTAATATTGTGGATATACCTACTTTGTTTGACCCTTACAAGTAGTTGATCCCACTTGCTGTTATTACTACAGTGGTTCAACTGATTTACTATAATTTAGTGGCTAATCCCACTAACTATTTGTGTTGCCGCCCTTAAAAATATCTCTAATCTCATTTGGGTGACCCCCATTCATTGCACAGTCTCTTTTTTTATTTAATTATTACAGTCTACCACAAATAAGACCAACTATGTCTGATAACACTGAGCCTGCCATCTCACAAGAACTTCGAGAATGGCTTGTTTCTACTATTGCGGCATCTATTTCCAAGATGCTAGCAGCCTTCCATGACAAAACTTCTACCGAAGTTAACCCCACTGTGCGCTTGCTCTCTGATTCTGAGGACTCTCAGCCTTCGGATCAGGAGGAGGTCACGCGCAAATGCCCCTGTAAAGGGGATAGTGTTTCTGCAGGCAAGGGCAAGGCTCCCGCCAAGTCCCTTAAATTGTCTTTCACTCACCCCACCCAGGCTACTTTAGACCCCTTAGAGGGCTCAACATCTAATACATGCAATGTGGTAGAGGATTACTACCTCAGCTATTCTGATGAGGAGTCCTTGGCGAATGCGCTATGGGACCCTTTGTCGGAATATGTCAAGGAAACATTTGTTGCCAGGAGAGTCCCAGATTCGAACAACACTAAGCCCAAGGAACCCGATTCAGACATCCTTCTGGATTCTTTGGGCGTTCCCTTTTTTGACCCTATGGTCATCAGACACCCATGCTCTGCTGAATGGGCCCCGCCAGACCACATCTCTTACTTTTGTTTTCTTCCCTACGTGGACGCACTGCTCCAGGTAATAAACCTTCCTTTTTTCAATGTACCTATAGCAGGCCGACTAACTCATTTTTTCCAACAGTGGGAATTGCTTTCACAGGATCTATGGATCCTACAGTCAAGGGTTTCAGAATATATTTATTTTCCATTCCCTTCCAGGAAACACCACCTACACCACTACGGATGTCTATTGCAGACAATCTAACATTAAAAACAGTTGCACAAACTGGTAGGAAAAGGAGCGATCGAAAGATCACCTTTCCCACATACTTTTCTCAGCAACATATTCCTGGTCCTCAAGAAGACCTTCGCCCAATTATCAATCTGAAAGATCTGAATCGCCATGTCAGATATCGCCAGTTCAAGATGGAGGGCATCTATCTTCTCAGGGACCTCCTTTGCATGGGATACTGGTTCTCCAGATTCGATCTTATGGATGCATACCTCGCAGTCCCTGTTGCCCGCAACCATCGGGCTTTCCTTCAATTTCTCTGGCAAGGGGAAATTTGTCAGTTCACATGCCTGCCTTTCAGTCTTTGCTCCGCACCATGGTGTTTTACAAAATGAATTAAACCAGTGATGGTGCGGCTCCGATCGCAGGGGATTCGTTCCATTATATTTTTGAACGACATTCTGATAATGGCTCAGACTCCATATCTTCTCCATCAATATATGGACATGACAACCGCCTTGTTCCAAAACTAGGTTTTGTCAGAAATTTTCAGAAATCATATCTGGAACCTTATCAGATGGTTCAATTCCTCGGATTTCTAATAGATTCGGTACAGGCATTTTTTCAACTACCTTCCACAAAGATCAAATCTATAAAGAGAGACATTCGGAAATTGCTGTCAGCCCAACAGATCCGCCTATGCGATCTAGCACATACTATAGGCCTCCTGTCGGCCTCTATCCAGGCTATTTATCCGGGACCCTTACACTACCGAGCCATGTGGCGGCTCAAAACATATTACCTACACCGGTCCACTTCCTACGACCAGTTGATTTACCTAACAGACGAAGTCCATATAGAACTCCACTGGTAGCTTCACACCATGGAAGCCTGGAATGACAAAGCCATATTCGGATCGCAGCCAGACTTCGTTCTGGAATCCGATGCCAACCTCCTGGGGTGGGCTGCACCGTGTTCAGAAAGGTCCCCTGGGGGACTATGGAACAGGCTCTTCACATCAACTGCCTAGAATTACTCGCAGGATACTTTGCGATCCGCAGTTTTGCAAAAGACATGTTAAATTTTTCCCTGGTACTACACATGGTAAACGTCCAGTACGTTATGTGAATCGGTTGGGAGGTTCCCGATCCAAATTGCTGTCCGACCTTACAAAGGACCTCTGCCAATTCTGTCTAGAGAGAAATCTATCCATCCGAGCGGAATATCTTCCAGGCACGAACAATCTAGTAGCAGATTTGTTCTCCCACCACTGGAGGGACGTCAGCGACTGGCAATTAGATAACCTTTTGTTTAATCAAATTCATTGTCTTCATGGACCCCTCATGCTAGACCTTTTCGCATCTCAGTTGAACCACCAGACGGAGGCCTTTTTCAGCTGGCTCCCAGATCCACAATCCTGGGCAGTCGATGCATTTCTACACCTTTGGCCAGAGACAGGAGCATATGCATTCCTGCCCTTTTTCATGATCCAACGCAACCTTTATTGGGTTAAAGCTCTAGTAGTAACAATAGTCCTTGTCACCCCTTTGTGGAGGGCCCACAACTCTGCTAGAACTATCAGTGAATTACCCAATTCTATTGCCTCAATTCCCCGTCATCCTCAAAAACCCAGCAGGGGACTGTCAACCGCTCGCTCTTCAGGAACGGCTCCAGCTTGTAGCTTGGACCGTTTCAGGGGATCTTGGAATGTCTCGGGACTTTCGAAAACAGCTCAGGCTCTCCTATGGGACCCCCTGGCCCCAGGCACTAGACGCTTTTATCTCTCTGCATGGTGGACGTGGGTCAGCTGGTGTCTGGAAAGGAATACCAATCCCTTTTCAGCACCTCTCCCAGCCATTCTAAATTTTTTATCTATCCTTTTTGATCAAGGCAAATCCTATAGGTCAATTAATGTCTTTCGATGCACTATTTCTGTAGCTCACAACTCTATTGACAATGCATCAATAGGGAACCATCCTTCCGTTTGTACACTTTTACGGGGGATTCGCTTGGTCAGACCCCCCATACAAGATATTCCAACTTCTGGGACATCACCCATGTTTTTTCCTTTTTGGAATCTTGGCCTGCTAACGAGGCTTTGACGTTATGCCAACTTTCTGCCAAGCTGGCATTACTTCTATGTCTGGTTTCCTTCCGTAGCGTTTCCGATATTCAAGCATTTGACTACCATGCTGTAGTTTTCACGCCTGAGGGAGTTACATTTAAAATCACCAGACGCACGAAGACTATTTCCTCCTCAGACTTCTACCTTTATTTTCCGAACAGACCGTCACGCTGCGTGGCACATTGTGTTCGACACTATATAGGTTCCACGGCCACACTGCGTTCCCCTACGGGACCTTTTCTGGTTTCTTACGTCAGACCACACAAGTCGGTCTCCACTCCCACCGTCGCACAGTGGATCAGTTGGATAATTGTCCAAGCGGGGATTGATCCCTCCTTTGGAGCACTTTCAGTCAGAGGAGCAGCCGCAGCTGCAGCCTTTCGTGCAGGCAGTTCCCTCTCAGACATCCTGTAATCTGTGGATTGGTCCAGGGAATCGACATTTCGTACCTTCTATTTTAAACCAATGCCACATGCTGTATCTTCTATCATATAGGAGCGTTAAAACAGCAAATTTGAACCCTTCTGTCTTGCCATAAAATTAGGGATTATTCTAGCTCTAGTGAACGAATAATCTAAATGTTATTAACGACAGGAGGCAAATATCCCATCCCCCCTTTTTATGTCACTGATTCCCACCCTTTAAGTTAAGTTATTAGATAAGTTAAAAGTGTTTATCGGTTCCAACGTAAATCTACACACCATCTGCCATAGGTTTACACTATAGTATTATGTTCAAGAATTTGTCATTCTTTCACTAATATTTAAAATGAACTTTGCCAAAGATTGCTGTTCACTATATGTATTTTCATAAACTTGGTTTTGTCTGGTAAGAGTACCTATACTCTCATAGATTTCTCTCTGTTTCCTTTTAGTGTGAAGATCTTTCTAAGGTTGTTGTAAGTGGAGTCGACAACTCAGTTCTCGGTTTGCAAGGTTGATCAAGCACTGGACCTGCTGTTTCGTACATTGTTCATGTAGTTATTTTGTTTACATGGTTGATCTCTGCTACACTCGGCTACAGCAAGAAAGAGGAGGGAGGAACTTGATGACATCATATGATATTGTTATACACTCTGATTGGTTAAACTTTTTAATACCATTGTTAACTATTTCTTTGCTGCTGGGAGGTTCAGTAAAGAAAGATAAGCAAATATTCACCTCCTGACGTTAATACAATTTAGATTATTTGTTCACTAGAGCTAGAATAATCCCTAATTGTCCTAAAAAGTTATCTTCTTTTGTTGAAATCTCTGTCTACCCCTAGCCTTTTGTGTTTTTAAAGTTAAGTTAAATATAGTTGACTCACCTTGTTTTCAGTTGAGACAACTCATCTCAGCTGCCCTCTCTGCCTCTTTCTTTGTCAGCATGCCTTTTGACTCTTCCATGATCTTCTCCAATCCAAGAGGCATATGCAATTAGCGAGTCAAAATTCCAACGAATGTGACCAAAAACTAACCGAAACAAAAAGTTTTGGATCAATTTGTTTTGATAAGAATATCAAATTAAGGAGTTTTACTAAACAGCTAAAGAATCAATATTAAGGAAGTAGGGGGCGGAGCTAGCAGCCGAGCTCCGAGCTTCCGAACTAAAATACAGCAATAAAACAACAGAAAAGAGCCAGGAACTGACACCAAGCTATCACATAACTACATAAGAGTGTAATGGGTCAAAAAAACAAAAAACAGAGGGCAGATAGAGGCCCCTTTTGCCATGATATTGGTGAGATGCGGCGAGGCCCTCAAAGATAAACATGGGACAAAATGGCGTCGGGAAATGAATGTTCCTCGTACTCCTCTGAAGATCTCTCTTACAACCCTAAGGGGGGGGGGGGACACCTTGAACAATCAGCCAGCATAGCCAAAAGCCAGGACCCGGTCACAGCCGCCCAACTTAAAGACATGCTCTCGGAACTGAGAGCGAATATAGCAGCAGATATGGCTCATTGCTAAGACGCCATAGATGGAGCAGTGCAAAAAATAACCCTCCTGGAGGTAAAGACAGACACACATGACTTACGACTCACGGCTGTGGAACACGCACTGGCGGAGCTTCAACAGAGGCAAAAAGCCACAGCGGACAAAACGGAAGCCCTGGAGGAACGCAGGCGGCGCCCCAACCTGAAAGTACGGGGCATCCCGGACTCAATGAGCCCGGCTGATTTACCACACTATATAAGACACCTGCTTAATACCCTGCTGCCGCCGAAACAGGCCAAGGCGGTCAAGCCCTCATCAGGTTTCAATCATTACAAGACAAGATCTCGATCCGTACAGCAGCCCGTGGACTCACTCCCCTGGTGTTTGAGGGGTCTACCCTATCACTATAAACAGACCTCAC